GAAAGTTTGTTCGGTGTTGATGTTTCGGCGGTGGCCTAATCCGTGACTTCTGTCACGCGTCACAAAACGCGTTCTCCCTGGTGTACGATGCCGTAAACTCTTATCGGGCAAGAAAATGGGGTATCCAAGTCCATTTTCCATCTATTGTCGTGCGTGACGGCCCGGCAATCCGCCAGGCACTGGGCTGTAATGTTTTGGTGTTTCCTGAGGTTCGAACACTAGAAGTCGGCGGCTGACGCGTTGTCGAATGAGGATAGCCACAAGGCAGGCGAGCTTTGCACTGTGGATCCCGAAATGAGGAAAACCGTTTCAAAGGAGATTCCCAGCGCACGTCTCGTGAAGTTGTCGCCGGAACCAGCTTTGCAATGGAATATGAACTCTCCAAAGTTCTTCCATTGTGCTGTTGGGTCGCGATAGTGGTCCATATTAAAGGTGTGGCAATGTCACCTGTAAACGCGTTAGCCCACTAACAGGTGCTAACAGCACCAAGTGGGGAAAATTGTTTACAGGGGAGAGTTGTTGTTGCTTGCGATTCGAGTTTAGGTTCGAGGCATGCCTTCATTTGGACAGGCATTCGCACTGCGTACGCAAGTTCTCGCACGCAGCTGCGGGCAGAGTGGATGCGTCCTCATTTGGCAGGGCATCCGCACTGCGCTGTGGGCAGACATTTGGCAGGGCATTCGTACTGCGCACGCAGGTTCTCGTACGCAGCTGTGAACGAGTCTGGGCTCGAGTGCCAAAGCTCTAACGCATGCTCTCGTACGAGAAAGCTGCACACCGCGCAAGCCGTCTTTATGGCTGAAAGCCCAGCAATGCCCTGAAACTCTCACGCAGTCTCTCGTACGAGACTCTGGTGGGTGTCATGCACATCGTCGGAATTCGTTGCTGGCACATCGCACAAGCTACTCCATGGCGACCCTATGCCCAGCGTTTCGCTCTACTAGGCGCCGTACGCGAGAAAATTGTCCCGAAAAAAAAATTGATACTAAAATTGAGAGGCAAGTCGGCCTACAGCCGAGTAACAAGCTGCGAATTGTCTTTTGCTACCACCATTGTGGTAGACACAGGTGCTACGGGTACGTACCACACTGCTTTGCAGGATCCCGTGTCCTACAATGCAACTGCCAGCGCCGCATACCCCTGTCAAACGCCACGCAGGAGACACTCGCCATAAAGTCCATCAATACCTCCAAGAGGGGCCTTGTCCGACTAAAGCTTGCCGACATAATCGGGAACATCAAGCCTATTGGTGCCGGCACTGAACTGCAGCGACTAGGAGAATGCGCAACTGACAATGATCATGGACGAAGCAGCTCGACCATTTCAATTTGCCGTCATATTACCTCCCAAATCTAGGGCGGTTTTATCACAAAAGTCGAACTGATCAGCGCGCTATCTGCCTCGAGACCGGTATGAAGCTGGTGGTGCTGCCCGAGTTGACTCCGTCTACATCCGACTTGACCAAGCGGCCGATACGGCTCTTGTGGAATTCGACGCGGCCGTCGACGGCTACAGTGAGGCCACATTCCGATAGAATGAGATGTTGGTTCATCAATTAGAATAAATGCCGGCTTATTGGCATGTGCCTTCGGCGGGAGACGGGTGCTTGTGTCGTCAGAAACTAGCCTCGACGCATCCGCTCACTGATGGCGCAGGGAGCGCGGGTAACGGATGGAGCTGTTTTGGATGCTAGTAAACGTGAGTGGCGATTATTTACCTGCACCTCGTCATCTTATTGCCAGAGTGCAATCTAAACAGGCTTAACTAAACTGCCGTCTGAGCAACAGTCATTATCGGCCTAAAATTGATTATCTTGCTGTCAAAAGGAATCCAAAAGCGGCCATGTTGCCAGGAACCTGACATGGACGGAATCTCCTGAAGAGGGTGCAGGGTTTTTCACCACTTGGCCGTCCTTTTTTACCCCAAGCGTCAGAAACGGCTTCAATTCATTCGTCATCTGTTCTTGCTGCATCCCCAGAGGAACCTAAAAGTGATGTAAGGCTTTTATAGCCCTCGCAGCGGCTTTTGAGCATATTGAGGGCCGGAACCAACTCCTTTTCATACCTTTAAAGAGCCTCGTCCCCTGCTGCATTTCAGATACACTGAAAGGGGGCAACACAAACCAGATGAGCCGGTCAAAAACATAAAGACAGACAGACAACATTTGGAGTTTGGCAAATTGATACGTGATGCCACAATCCGTGATTTGCGTGCCCAAAGGCGTGATGCGGGTCACACCAGAAGGCAACCAGAGGGCGCGTTTCACAAGCCTTGCAACACAGAAAAGACTGGAAAATGAAGACGCATACCGCAAGGAGAGATCAAAAGTCTTCTCTGCGCGTCAACGCAATCGTCGACATGCGAAAATTATTGATGAAGCGGCTCGCGAGGCAGAGAATCAGCTTCAACTCTTTGGGTTGATCTTTGCGCAGCTCGCGCGGCAGGACAACGAACTGCAGAACCAACCAGCGACTGGGAATAATACAACGAGCAGAGAACGGGAAAGATTGAGAATAGAAGCAACAGAGGTTCTGCGGACTGTTTTGTGACCTGCCATGCTTGTGGCTTGGCACGCTTCACTGCTTCATTTGCAATCTAACCAAATACCCGCGGTGGAGATACATAGAGCTTCCAAACTTGAAGCCGGGATGGTATAATAACTCCGTCCTCTAAAGACTCTGCGTCTACGATGCACATATTCTATTATCTTTTGCGGCGTCTGCGTCTTCTTGCGTAAGCCATTCCAAGTTGCATCCTAGTTCTGATCCTACGCCCCCATCCTTGCCCACCGTGTGTTCAAGCTGAATGAAGAGCGGCCCTGCCTGGACAGGTGCAATAGTAGACGCGCCGAGAGCAAGCTTGGCCATACTTCCCTGACGCACTGTGAGTTGACCTAATTTACCGCGCGACATCGATGGCGTCCCACCGGCCCGGGCTCAAGCTCTAACCCAATCACTGCTTGTGGGGTCGACGGTTCTCGGCTCGTACCAACGCTGGACTCCAGCCTCGGTGACTCTCCCATCATGCCCCATGGCCCGGGAAGCATGCCCAATGTAGTTGCGGAAACATCCATCGCCCACAGTGTACTTTCACTCAGCTGCGGAAAGCGAGTGCCTCGACAGCAGTGTAACTGCACCATTGCGGGTATAAGCCTTCAGACTTTGCACGAACAGGCGCTTCAATCCGCACCGTGAAGGGAACACAGGTAACTTCCGGGTAGGGTACCGTGGCATCGCTTCGTGTACACCTTCGCAGCTTGACACAAGAGAATATTGCAGAGGAAGCACGCCATTTTGGCTCGATGCTACGACTCTCGGGGCCGGCATAGGCCGATGTCCTTCGAGTTAATATATGAGCTGGACCTTCGCGTGTATTTTACCCTCACGCAAAGCCTTGGAGCACTGATAAGGGGATAATTCCTCGGCTCTCTGTCCTTCTCAGCTGAACTGATGTCCGCGTGCAATCTGCAATCTCGCCTCAGTAACAAATAAATTCGGTTCGTGCTCCATAGGCATGAAACGCAACTCCGTTGCCAAGCTGACGTGAACGAGTTGTATAACTCGAACGACGGTAAGTTTACTACCAAGTAAGGCGGATGTTTCCTCTCGTACTTGCTTTAGTGCCTGCTAGGTTTTCTTTCGCTTTTGTGGCGCATAATTTATCAGCTCGCAGATCACTGCCGAAAGTGCCCAGAATGGTCGAGCTCCTCATTGATACTATCGGGCCTAGCTAGGGCTATCTTCATTTGAGACTTGAATAGCATCTGAATCCTCCGCCAGATCGAGCCCGCCACCGCCGATTCCTTATTGCTACATTGCGAAGTTGAGGGTCGCTTTGTAGGATTTTCTAAGCTGTTGAAGCCTTGAAACTGCGCACCATAGAAGTTTAACTTGCGATCAACCCAGAAGAAGCTACTGAGACCATCCTGTCCTTTCAGAAGCAAGCGGCTGAGTATAGCGGCGCATCTGATGAGCTGGCCTTTGCGATCGTAGATATTTTGGCCTTATTTCCCGCTGAAACCGCTTAAAACGCCGCCAGATAAAAAAACGCCCGAGTTTCGTCGATTATTCTGTGGCACTGAGTCGGCCCGCCTAGTCCGTCTGGCTGCCCTACGCGATTTTTTCTCTTCGGCATCTTGACTTTGAGCTTGTGTGAGGACGTATCCGCAGTGCAACTGGACTAAAGCAGTCGCGTCAGAGCTATCAGGAACTTGTGGTTCAGCAGCGAAAATTGTCGGCCACACAACTTTAGCGACCTCACTACCGAGGAGTTGGCGTGGCTCGTGGTTTGGCGCACCGTTCTGTGAGTTGTCTGTTTTTGGCATTTTCTTTCTGTTTGATGTATTGACCGTCGGTGCGGCGGGCCAGCATAGTAATGGTAGCGGTTGCCAGTCCTCTGGTAGCTCATACTCGAACTCTGGCCAGATCCTGTGCTACACCTGCCAAGCTAGCGCCCAACACTTCAGTGCCTTATTACAGATGTTCTCTAATCCGGATCTCAGTGCTCGCTCGTCTCGAGCCCATCGACCTATAGCCGTCATGACCTCGTTGATCGCCAATTCAGCTCCGCGGTTCTGGCCTTGTGTCTGTGCCGCTGGTAGCACTTTTGCCAGAGCTGCGCGTACGTAGGCGTGATGTAGGCGGTCAGTAGTCGCAAGGAGGTGCAGCTTTTCATCCAGTTCGTGGCTCTGCGTCAAGAAAGAGTCACGAAACAGGTGCCTATCAAGCGCCTTCCCACACGCTGCAAGTCCGGCCACAACTCTCATTTGCTTCGCTGCCGGCGAATTTGATGCTGGAAGTGGGAGTGCGTGGGATTGGAAGCTACTTCCTGCCATGTTCTTATCACTAACATCGTGATAGAGAGCGGACTGACACAGATCCATTGCGCTCTGGAATAGATCTGCAAAGCCATCATGACTGTGCAACCGCTTCTGTTAGCTGACGGCATCGGTTGCTTGGGGAGAGTACATACATTGTGACTCTGCCAGTCTCATCTAAGGCCCGCAGCGGAACCAGGAAAGATCGAACAGTGGTAAGAGATTCTTGAACATTGTTCAACTCCTCGAGGTTTGCATCATGCTGCTGTTTCAATACTTGCAACTCATCTTTAAGTGCGTTGTTCTTGTTGCCCATGCCTTCCATGCGCACTTGCATTGCTTCCTTCTCGCCGCGGAGTTTTGTAGCAGTACCCTCCGCATGTTTTTTGGCCTCAATGAGAGCCTTGATTTTTTGCTCGTTGTCTTATATCTGACGCCGTAGGCTATCTGCCTTTTCTCGCTCAGTGTCAAGTTTTGCGCCGGCATCTTTTTGGTCGCTTAAACTTTGCTTCAAGCGTGCCCTTTCTGCCTGGACACCTTCCTGAAGACAGGAGCGCTCAGTATCCCAGTCGATCTGCTGCTGGGCCAGAGCGCGGAGGTTGGTGTTATACGCTGTGCGAAGATCACTGAGTTCTGCTTTCAGAGTCTCATGACCCTGTATCATAGCCTTGAGACTTTTTCCATTTCCCCCCTCACAGAATGGGCGCATAAGTTATATCAACTCTGTAACTAATTCTTCGCCAGTGGGAGAGGCTGGAATCGGTTTCCCCTTTCCGGGGTCCTGTTTCGATTGCGTTGGCATTACAATGGGAACCTTTTTCTGTAAAAGCGTAACAGAGAAGAAGCCTTCTATGTCGTTTCCTTTCATGCACTATCAGCTCTCGCTTTATATACATCACGCCTCTGGCCATCTACAGGGGGGTGAGCTCGACGCCTTTTGCGAGGTTATGCATGACTTACTTCTCGCGTAAGGCAAATCAATCATTTTCACAGCCTCGCCTGAACCAGTTTATGTTGATGATCACTTCGCTGCTGCGGCTCGCGTTGAGTCTGCGAGCAGGCAACACCTGCCGCCTGTACGGCATCGTGTCAACCTTTCCGGTTGGATCACTACTGTGGATTTGTATGCAGGCGCATGCGGAGACAGCGCATCTTGAGACCGGTTTTGGAGAGTGTGGTCACGTTGGGTGAGCGTTGAAGGTGACATTACCTCCTAGATCCTGTAAGGCTACGATGTACGAGGAGCTGTGCTGGCAACACCGCTTCATTCACCGACCTTCTAGGCGAAGGTCAGTGACCTTCTTTGCATGCGTATGAAGCCCTTTCTCGCCCGAGCTTTGTCCATTCCAAGTCGTTAGTCTTTCCTACGAGAAAGCATCACAGTGGTTGACAGAATACGCACCCTGTCGTCCTCAAGCGGAGTAGCGAGGCCGCTGATCGCCGGTCCGGTTTGCCGTCACATGGAACCGATCCTGCCTGCTGTTGCTGTGGCGGGACCGCTCCGTGAAAATGCGCCTTCTGCACACAGCGACTGGATGAAATTTGTATGGCGTGCCTATCATGCCTTGGCCTTCCGATGGCTGATATTTCGTCGCTCCTACCAGTCAACAGTCACGTCGTAAAGGTCCTGCAGCACACGTTGACTCGTCATCACTTCACGACATGCGCCACTAGTGGTAGGCCTCGCTCACACAGCTGCGTCGATTTCAGAAAGGTTCTACCATATCGTTTTATTTGTGGATTGTTTCCACACAGGACACTGCTGCATTGGTACTTATTGCCTGAGGCTTTAACACCGTTGACCTAACCAGTTAGCTCCCCCGTGTTCGCCTTGTTGCCAGCGCATCCCCCACCCTTTTGGCAGTTCCGCCGGCTGCGCCTTAGACATGCGTATGCATCTCAATCCGTGCCCGGCTATTGCTGGAAAGGACGCGCCTTTGGCCACAATTTGATTATGGCCGATACTGGCCACCGAGAGGTCCCCTGTTACGCAGGCAGGGCAGTTCTTATCCATAGAGTACGGCGTCTTAGAAAATTGCTCGCTGACGTCCCTTTCTGGGCGTTAAAGGCCGCGAACCTGAGGGAAGGAGATACTTGTCCGTGGCAATACGAAAGTCGCTCTACGCTGGCGGAGAACTTGGCGCCTGCACTTCTCTTGGACGGCTGTGGTGAAAGCCTTGGTGTTGGAAGAACAGCCACACCCATTTGCACAAACGAGATAGACAGCCCAGAAGCCCGGCTCCAGGAGGAATCGTGGTATTGGCTTGAGGAGCATGCGCCCCGCTGTCCAGACCAGATGCATGTCCACCTGCTCCGTGACGAAGACATCACGACCTAGCAAGAGCTGGTGGTGCAGGGCACGTGGCGGCAACGGCAGACCCGCGATCCAGAGCCAGTCCTGAATGTTGGCGAGCCGTTGCAAGTCGAGCTCCCTCTCAACACAGCAGTGACATGCAGACCCGCAGTGCCCAGGTCACCACTCTTTGCGGTAGAACGCGGGCAGAAGCGCCAGGAGCTGGTCGCGACCTTGTCGGGACGCGTTGTTGTGCTCCTTTTTGGACGCGAGGAGACGGACGGAGAATGGATGCGCCTGTTACAAGATGCGCTAGATCAAAATGCCGTGGTGAGATGGAGTGCGTAGGACGCTACGGAGTTCGTTCGGGTTTCCTATCCACCTTAGTCTGCCATCAGCAGGACTGTCCGACCGCCATTGGAGTTTCGCCAGGCGGCAGAAGATGCACATTGAGAGGAGGAGGAGCCACCGTCGTGATGAGGTAGGTACATAGGCACATCAGGAACGGTCGGCACGACTTCAACACCAAACGTGCGCTGTGCAACATAGAAGCTGAACGAACCTGCACTTTGCTGCACTGGGGCGGAGAGACACCCAGGCAGTAAGCGCTGTGGCTTACGGCCACCAAGCATCCTCCCAAACTACGCATCCCTAAGGTCAGGCCAACCATCGCCCATGGCCGCTGCGTCCTTTGGCCCTGTTTTTACACCTTCTCCCAACAGCGTATAGACTTCCTTGCGTCTACGTACACGCCTTTCAACGTATTTTATATTCAAGACAAGTGTTGCTGTTTTGAACACGAAAGCTTCGAAGTTGACCCGTCGCCACCATCTAGCATTACAAGCTTCTGCCGCCCGTGCACCACCCGCAACTAACCTTCCCGCCCCGCAAACACCCCTGGCCGCGATGGACTGGGCGCAACGGTGGTTACTCACCTTCTTAGGGAGCATGGTCGCTGCCGTGTACTGGTTGTTGGCAGCGAGAGCTAGATCTGCTGCGAAATCGCGACGACAGTCCCAGGTAGCGCAGGACCATCGCCCTGATCATTCGGTGCCAGAGAGGACAAAGGTATGTCATCTGGGCAATGGAGGAGCAGCATAGTAATACCGCATAGGATCGGACTCGGAAGCGTCTTACGGTAGTATACCCTGAGCAGACGCGCGACGCAGCCGATGATGCTGAGGTCGAGTAAGTGTTCTGAGTAATTTTGAGGAAACATCAATCTGATCACAGCAGCATCGTTGCCGTACATGGCCTTGGTTCGGACGCGGACTGGTCTTGGATATGCAAGGACGGCGAAAAGCATATCAACTGGCTTCGGGACCCTGACATGCTGCCAGCGCAGGTGCCGAAGGCCAGGATTATAGTGTATCGCTACGAGACGACCTGGCACGTAGACGCACCAAAGACGCGCCTCCAGCTCTGCGGAGAAGAGCTCGTCCACAGCCTACACGCATTCCGCGCCGGTCGCCCGAGCCGGCCGCTTGTCTTCGTCGGCCATAGTCTAGGTGGAAATGTTATTGTGCAGGTTCGCTGATGCCCTCGCCATTTTATATGGGCTTTTGCTGATCTCCGACCCCGAGGCCTTTCTGTACGCCAGCGACGACAGCAGATACGAGTCACTGCTGAAGACGACCGTTGGTCTTGTGTTCCTAGGGACGCCGTTTCGTGGCTCGAAGTGGCAACCTCTCGCCAATGCTCTTGCGCAGCTGATGGGGCCGGCAGGCTCCCATAGTGGCATTACGAGGGAGCTAGGTTTCGACGAGCCGGCGCTCCGAGACAGGGTACATCGCTTCTGCAAGTTGCTCAACAAGCTGTCGACGGCCGTCGCGTGTTTCAGCGAGCTCCACGAAACGGACTATGGGCGGCGGCTGGGGATTGTTGGGGTGGCCAAAGGAATGGTACGTGAATGCTTGAAAGACGCTCGCTGTCTGGAGCTGTACTTACCTCCCTAGGTCGTCGACGAAACATCGGCTTGCATTCCAGGCCTCGACAGGTATGCACTCGACAAAGATCACCTGAAGATCAACAAGTATTACGGCCCAACCGACCCTGCTTTCGAAAGGGTGTCCAATGTGATCTCCAAGATGTGCCGCCGAGCGAATGACGTCGTTCGCCGCCGGTTCGAGAGTGCGTATTCTTGTCACCTAGTCTAGGCGTATGCTAACCAAGTCGGATAGGAAGGGAAATCATTACTGACAATCATGGTAAGCTCAGCCGTCGCCCGACCGGTACAAGAATTGTTCAAGCCCTGCTAACAGTTCGCCAAAGCCGCACTAAAGTACAGCCCACAAGCTGAAGCATGTCTTCATGATCTATTCGTCACCGACCCGCTCGAGGACAAGAAGGCTCTAAAACGCAAGAAGGGTGACCGCGCTGCTGGCACCTGCGAGTGGATACTTGGCACGGACGATCTGACTGCTTGGCTTGGGCCGAGTCACAATGAGAACTCTGAGATTCACGCAACCCAAGTTCTGTGGCTGCACGGCAACCCGGGAACGGGTAAGTCTACGCTGGCGATATATCTCACCGACGTGCTGTCCACTGGCTTCTCTGCCACGGACGGAAACACAATGGCATATTTTTTCTGTGACTCCGCTTTCGATACGCGGAGGACGGCCACGTCTGTCGTCAGAGGCCTTCTTCTACAACTCATCCAGCAGCACCCGTCGCTTCTCAGCTACGTCTTGCCAAAGTATAATGAGCGAAAGGCAAAGCTATTCGAATCCTTCGACGCTCTTTGGACAATTTTTATATCAGCGGCGGCGGACCGCAACACCGGCCGAAAATACTGCATCATTGATGCATTAGACGAGTGCGATGATGAGTCGCAAAGGACGCTGCTCCGACAGTTGCAGGAGACCTTTCATAGTTCCGATGCCCCGCCAAATGTCCGAATTCTGGTCACCAGTCGGCCGTATCCAGAGATCCGCAAACACTTGGATATTTTCACACATAAGGACCTGGCTTCCTTTCCTGACATCAAGCAGGATATTGATCGATGTATCAAGGAAAGGGTGGCACAGCTTAAGTACACGGAGAAAATTAAAGGACGAGTTACTGAAATTCTTAGAGATAAAGCTGAAGGGACATTTCTGTGGGTCGGCATAGCCTGCACCGAGCTCGAAGATACCCCCTCGAAGGACGCGATCTCATGCTTAGAGGCAATGCCTAGTGGCCTTCATGCTCTCTATGAGAAGCTTTTCAGCGCAGCCCTTGAAAAGGAAAGGGAGAAAGGCACGATTCGACTCGTCCTCGGTTTTGTTGCTGTTTCTCAGCGGCCTTTGACCCTGTTGGAGCTCTCTGAGGCCTGTCGATTGCGTCAAGACGAAGATGACATAGAGACCCGTACCCAGTTCATGCGTGAATACATCGAGTCCTGCCGTCTCATGGTCGTTATTCAGGACGAAAAAGTCCTCTTACTGCACCAATCCGTGAAGGATTATTTGGTCAAGCTTGGTGAAAAGGCTCGTTTCAGTGAGTTTCAAGCTCAGGCTGACCTTGCGTATCGCTGTCTCGATCACCTAATCCAGCGGTTTCGTACTACAAAGAACACGTACGATCACTTCTCAGATTACGCAACTCTGGAGTGGCCCAATCATGCACGCATGGCGCAGTCTAAATTCGTCGTCTTAGATTCACATGCAGAGTTCTTCGAGGTTATTTCGGCATGTCGGGAGACTTGGCTGACAGCTTATCGTCATCGCCAACTCGAAAAGTTTGGCTTCAACGAACCTCCACATCAATACTCCATTTTACATGTGGCTGCACAATGGGGTATTCCCGCGATAGTAGAGCATGTCTATTCTTCGAATGGCAACGATGAAGCGGCAGAGCTAACTCATCTTACCGATGCCTCACATCAAATACCACTTGAGTATGCTGTTGCAAGTGGATACCCGGCAGTTGTGCGTATTCTATTGGGACTGGGGTCGTCGATACCTGAAACTGCGATATTGAATGCGGTGGCAAATCGAAAGAGTGGCCAGGAGATGACAGCGCTTCTGCTCGAGCAGCGAGGAGAGGAGATTCGGATCACAGAGGAGGTGGTGAAGGCGGCGGCGGGAAATGGATGGAACGGTAAGGAGATTATGGCGCTCCTTCTCGAGCGGCGAGGAGAAGAGGTCAGGATTACAGAGGAGGTGGT